ATTTTTCGACCCGTCAGCAGTGACTTTTGATGACCGTTGTGTGACCTCTGCTGGTCAGTTTTGCATCTCAATTTTGACACCACTTTTTGATGTACAAGTGAGCTTGAACTGTGTACATCTGCCCATTCCAATGACACTACAAAATTTCACCCGTGACTTTCACTGACCCTTGAGTGACCTCTGAATGTCAAAATTATCATCTCAGTTTTTGGCCTGTTTCCTTCGTCCGATGGACTTGAGACTTTGCTTGATTACTCAACACCGATGACAAACAATTCTATATGGTCAGCTGGTCAGCAATGACATCCACTGACTGTCACTGATCTCTCTTTAAATTTCACGCAGGAGGGCGCCACCAACATGATTTCCATGTTTTAGAACAGGCCTGAAATGTATGGCGGGCCGTAATACTTTATGAAAAACGTGTGCGTGCCGAAAGGAAATAGGACAGGCGGGAAAGCTGTTACGATAATAATAATAATAAAGAATATTTCGTTACTTCGCGGGCCGCAAAGTGGGTGCTGGTGGGGCCACATGCAGCCCGTGGGCCGTAGGTTGTGCAGGGCTATTTTAGAAGCAAAAATATTACAATCTCAACTTCTCAGAAGTTACGCTCCACAGAAATACAGTAAAAGACAAAATGGCGAAAAATAAGTCTTCATGTTGTTGTTATACTAACCATTGTAATGAATCTTGTTTTTATTTCAGACCTCAGTTCTGTGCACGAGCAGCATCTGAACATTGCCCTATTTTTTGAACTATTTTAAGGCCATATTACCCCGCGCTGCGCATTGATTTAGTTGAAGACACGCGATTGAAATGATCATTAAGAGATATCGGAAATATTGATTGAAACTTGCTCTTTTGTTGTAACAAGTTCCAGTAAGAAATTGATAGTAAAGGGATCGTCTCAAGGATCCTTAACGGAAAAAAACTATTATCGTTATAAAAAATTATTCATTACATTTTTAAATTAAACAAACCGTAAAACAAAGTTCTTCGTCTTCATCCTTTATAAAATATGATCTCAAACAAACAAACAAAAAGGGGTGGGGGATACAAAGTTTACAAAAGATACATGCAAGCAACTCATGTAATAACTCGGTGCTCCCCCTCCCCCCCCCCCCCAGGCTCGCAGTCGCACATTTTTTCACGCCCCTGAATTATTTTAATATTCTAATGACCCACCCCGTTTTAAACCATAGATTTATTTGCCCAAAAATTTTAGAAAAACAACACAAAATATTACGCACCAAATACAAATGCGAATTTATTTTTTTTTTCGCATTTAGCGCAGTTATCGGGAATTTATTTCGTGAAATCATATTCCCTTCATCTGCCCCTTGAAAAACAGGAAAAACTTCTCTTTTTTTCCCGTTTTTTTCACCCTTTTTTTTGGGGGGGGAGGGGGGTATTCTGGGGGTGGGGCTAAAATTTGATAGAATGTGTCGTCATCGGCAACAAGCGTATGTGTTAAATTTTGGACCGAAAGGTTGGCGGGGAGTGGGTCAAATAGCCGTCCAAATATTTGGCCAGCCAGCCACGAACAAAAACGAAGTTAATTATAAAGAATTTATTAAGGAAACAATGTTTGAAATTTCCTTAAATAAAGGAAGGAAAAATGTGTAAGTTTTTTTAGTTGTTTTTTTTTTTGTTTGTGTTTTTTTTTTAAAATAAAGTCTAATCACCTGTAGTGAGTAAAGAGTTTTGATTGGCGGAACCTAAAATACTCTATTTAAGAAAAAAAAGTCATAGATCTTATTAAATAATTACAAAGACATTTTTTTCGATTTCTTTTGCACGATAGGCCTCAAGATAAGTCATTGATATTGTGCACACCCACGAGTCGCTGGACTACCTTTCATCTATATTTAGCGGCTACTCAACACATATGATTTAAAAATGGGGTTCAGACATCAAAATAATAAATACACAAAATATAATTAGTATAATTATGTACTCTTTTTTATTCATGTTATCGGTGCGGTATTCTAACAAAAGTTAGATCTAGATGTTTTAGTTGATGCTTTCCAAATCTTTTATTTATCTTTTTTAGCTTAGGAAGAAAATGTTGGCTAGTTCTGTATCATATCTGACTAAAACTATTATTTTATCGAGAATATTGATTGTCGAATTTCGAGTACCCGATAGATCATGGCTGTTTTAATTTCTTCCCCCTTCGTCCTTCACTAAGGAGGCCATCTTTTGTTTGTACTGTGTTAACATTAGCCACGCCCCACTGCAGTAACATGGTGCGTCTTTAAAGCTGAAATATTGACATTACAACGTGATCAGGAGATTGTCCAAGTATATATGACTGGAGCCAAGTGTATATGACTGGAGCCAAGTATATACAGATGAGGCCAAATATATATATAGATATATAGAGAGAGAATTATATGACAGGAGAAGAATATTTATATATATACATTTTTTTTTGAAGATTCTTCGACAATTGCCATCTTTATAACTCATTACAGGTATTATCTTATTTTTCTGTGTGTATGAAATTAAATTTTTAAAGAGATACCGTGATAGAGCGTGATTATATTTTTAATGTTTTTTTTTTAAATCCTTTATATTAACTTCACCTTTGTTCGTGGATGGCGGACTGGCAAATCTTCGCACGGCTAATTGACCCATTGCCCGTCAATCATTGAGCTGAAACTTGGCACATGAAAAAAAAAATCAGCCCAAACCAGCAACATCTACCACCAAAAATCCGTTGTCCCCTTTTTTTCACGGGGAAGATAAATAAGAAATTCCCGCTAACTTCGCTAAATGAGATTCTTTAAAATCGCGTTTGGTGCGTACTACTTTCTCTATATTTCATTTAATAAAGATTTCTAATTGATACGAACATCTGTGTTTGTTATGGGTTCTTCGATTTAAAATTGTTTTATTTTTAAATTGTCTACCCTTTGATGTCTGGAATTTAAATTGAGCTCTAAAAATAGTGTGTTTTTTTTTGTCTACCGGCCGAGAAGTAGCCGGCGAGATAATATGCGGCTATTCATCACCTCTATATAAAGAAATAAGTGCCCCTCCCCCCAAGGGCAGACCTTGCCACCCTGTTCATGCGCCATTGGCTAGCGTGCGACGGTTTGAAGGGTTTTTCGAGATATTTCAAAGTTTTAACAAAATAATAATTACAGCACAAACATGGAAGCCGTGCTTCGTGTGTTTGGTTAATATAATGTGTTCGTTTCAGCGTTGAACTTTCTATACTATAAACAAACAACTTTATCAAACAAAAAGACAAACGTTTATTTGTTTTGTTTGTTTCTTCCCACACATATTACTTTTAATGAAATTTAGATTATTTTTTTCTAAGTGTGTGATTTTTGTAAGTGTGGAACAGTTAATTCAGAAGATAACAAAGAGTTTACCTAACTTAAAGGGTAAATATCTTGTCCCTTTTTTTGTTTCCTTTTTTAATGAGTCGGTAATTTTAAGATACAGGCTTTCATCAATAAAATTCTGGTACAGTCCAAGAAAAATTTCGACCGTGAGAGTTGGTTAAGATTATATGGTGTCGTATCTGTTACCGTCAGGTGGCCACACCTTTCTGTTTGGTTCGTGATATGTCACTGTGTGTGTCTTGCTAGGGCCGTGAACATCGGTGGAACGGTCGGGGCGCAGCAAGACCAAGAGACCCACAAGACCAAAAGACCCGCAAGGCGAAGAGACACGCAAGGCCAAGAGACCCGCAAGGCCAAGATACCCGAAATGCCAAAGAGACCAGCAAGGCCAAGAGGCCCGCAAGGCGAGAGATCCGCATGGCGAAGAGACCCGCAAGGCCAAGAAGCCCGCAAGGCCAAGAGACCCGCAAAGGATAAAGAGACCCGCAAAGGATAAAGAGACCCGCAAGGCCAAGAGACCCGCAAGGCCAAGAGACCAGCAAAGGCCAAGAGACCCGCAAGGGCCAAGAGACCCGCGAGGCCAAGAGACCCGCAAGGCCAAGAGACCCGCAAGGCCAAGAGACCGGCAAGGGCCAAGAGACCCGCAAAGGCCAAGAGACCCGCCAGACCAAGAGACACGCAAGGCCAAGAGACCCGCAAGGCCAAGAGACCCGCAAGGGCCAAGAGACCCGCCAGACCAAGAGACACGCAAGGCCAAGAGACACGCAAGGCCAAGAGACCCGCAAGGGCCAAGAGACCCGCAAGGGCCAAGAGACCCGCCAGACCAAGAGACACGCAAGGCCAAGAGACCCGCAAGGTCAAGGGACCAGCAATGCCAAGAGACCAGCAAGGAACAAGAGACCAGCAGGGGCAGATTTTGAAGTGACTACCTCGTATTGCAGTAATTATGCGGGAAACTTTAAAAACAAAATTATATAATTTAATTTATGTTCTGACTCGGACATTTCCAACACTAAATGTTGTTTCCATCCCTTGTCAACATATAACAAAATCATTCACGTTCGAACTGACGCTGAGCAAGCAAACCATGTTGATATAGTAAATATATATCTTTTTTAAATTGCACTTTACAACATTAAAAAATTAGATGGCTATTCCAACTTCGATTATATGCTATACCCCCCTCCCTTTTTTTCATAATACCTAATGGATGATTTCCAAAAAAATACAACTGAATACTCCTTTCTTTTCCCAAATATTCCCCACCCCCTTTTTTTTACAAACACACTTTTACACACACACACACACATGCACAAACACACACACACACACATACATATTTAGTTAAAGGTTCATTTTTTTGTTATTCAATTTATCTCAAATTAGCAGTATTTGAGAACCGTTTAGTGTAATCTTCATCGAACATTTATTTTTGTAACAGCACTTTTCACAATGTAGTGATAAAAACGATCCCCTCGACATTTTTGTAATCGATTACGTTGCAATTAAGGGGAAGTTAAGGCAAACATACGGATTCGACTTTACATAAATGTTGTTGGTTTAAAAAAAAAAAAAAAAGAATCTGCCGATAACGGAACAAGAAACTTTACATGTTATTCTGTTATAAAATGGTGCTACATGCAACGCCACACCTACATCACCATATCTGTATGGTCCATCGCGATATGTGGTGCAGTTGAGTGGGACGTTCTCATTCATAGTTTCATGCATTTTTGTTGTCTTACTGCACAGAACTGATACGATCCGAAATAAGGTGTACCATTTCGTGAAGAGCTGGCGTAGCGAAGCGGTTGCCGCGTTGAAGGGCGGCGTCATGAGATTCTGTCTCGAGACATACTTGGCGAATGATTATCGTGGAGAGTTACCTACAACCATTGTGATTGGGATCATCGTTCGGGAAGGTGAAGATGTTTCGATCTGATGTTGTGTAAACTCGGGAAGCGTTCAAACTATATATATATATATATATATATATAGTTGTTTTTTTTTTAATAAAGACAATACTTGTGTGACGTCGCGAGTAGAAATCTCAGACGAAGCTGAAAGGACGAGACGATCTGCAGCACACTTCACCACGGTCGTGTGACGTCTTAAGTACAAATAACTGACCGCGCGCGACGCAGCTCTTTGAAGATGACCCGAGGGCCACATCTACGGAGCGGACTACTGGTGCTTCTTTTAGGTAAATCCTATTTCATAACTTACCCTAAAGAAGTGTATGCAGTGGCGTAGGTAGTGGGGTGCGGAGAGGGGAGGAGGGGGGTGCGCCAAGGTGGCATTTTTCTTCTTCATATTGAGTAGTGGTATCTTTCGGCCAACTGCTGAGGGTTTGATTTCGTGAAAGGTGGTGGAAAAAATGTTGACCGGCCCCGGTCGGAACACTAACCTTAGTTACGCCACTGAGCGTAAACTCTTTCCGGAGGATAAGTTTCAATGGGCATCTCTTAGTCTGCGCATGCTCATCCATTGTGATGTTCTACATAGACTCAAGGAAATGTACTTTCTCACATTATGATCACATTCAATAAGTATGTACCGGTACAGGGTTTGTCAGTTCTAAAATCGGAAAACGTCACACCGCATTACCTTATGTTACTATTTTTAGACATTGTTTCATAAATCACTTCTAACAATGTATTTCCACACATATATAAATAGATATATAGATGATAGATAGATGATAGATAGATGATGGATAGATGATGGATAGATGATGGATAAATGATGGATATATGATGGATAGATGATGGATAGATAGAGTGATTGATAGATTGATTGATAGATTGATAGATAGATTGATAGATAGATTGATAGATAGATTGATAGATAGATTGATAGATAGATTGATAGATAGATTGATAGATAGATTGATAGATAGATTGATAGATAGATTGATAGATTGATATATTGATTGATTGATAGATTGATAGATTGATATATTGATAGATTGATAGATTGATTGATTGATTGATTGATTGATTAATTGGTAGATAGGATGATAGGTAGACGGGTAGACTTGGGTGGGTGGGTGGGTGGGTGGATAGGTAGGTAGATAGATAGATGGATAGATAGATAGATGAATGGATGGATGGTTGAATGGATGGATGGATGGCGATTGTTTATTCATTTAAATGAAATGTATCGCTTTTAAAACAACATTTGAGACGTCAGAACAGATCTAGACGTGAACAATAATGTTTAGATTAACGGTTTTTTAAAAAGGGAAACTATCTATTCTAACCTCAATACTGCACTAACGTTGGACAGGCAGAGTAGAGGCCTCAATACTGCATTAACGTTGGGCAGGCAGAGTAGAGGCCTTGTCTATTCGTATTTTTTTTAATCTCCCTTGTTCATAATTCAATAAGAAATTTTGTTCTAAATGATGGCGAGGGTGGGGGGGGGGGAGAGAGATCAAAACAATCATTGCATAACTTAAGCATTAATAAAACACCAGTTTATCACCATCATCATCATGTCCCTTAGTCCTTGGATCGTTGAGGCGCCACAGATGACAGGAAAACTATCCTCTATTCCTCTCCGTTATCAGCACTTAGGGGGGGGGGGGGGGGGGGGGGGGAGAGAGAGATCAAAACAATCATTGCATAACTTAAGCATTAATAAAACACCAGTTTATCATCATCATCATCATGTCCCTTAGTCCTTGGATCGTTGAGGCGCCACAGATGACAGGAAAACTATCCTCTATTCCTCTCCGTTATCAGCACTTCGCTCGAAATCGCCTAGTTTTAGTCCCGTCCACTCTTTGATGTTATCTTTCCATCTTTTTTTCTGTCTTCCTCAATTCATTTCAATTTTTTTTTTAATCCATAAGATCAAAGATATCCAATAAGCTAACTGCAGTAGCTGGCCTTTGCGCCATTAGGTGTAGCGTCCCCTGACTGTTTGAAAGACGGCTGTAGTACATTCGACATTTTTAAAATCATTTATTTCATTGAACAAAATCTGTTGGTGAAACAAAAAATTCAAACAAAACCCTTATCAGCAATCGTGAAAAAAATCCTTTTGGGACACGTACAAGTGTAATGCATGTTCTTTGTACCTGGTGTCAGTTTCGACCTTGACCTACTCGAGGAGTGGGGGGGGTGGGAGTCGATACCGTAACGTTTATCATCCAAGACAAAATGACGAGTTAAAAGAGTTGCCAGGTAGAGAGATAACATATTTCACGTTCCTCATCCTCATGTCCCTTAGACCTTGGACCGTTGGGGCACCACAGATGACATGTGAACCACCCTCCTCCATTCCTGTCTGTCTTCAGCACTACGCACTGAATCGCCCAGTGTTAGTCCTGTCCGCTCTTTGATGTTATCCTCCCACCTTTTTCTTTGTCTTCCTCTTCTTCTCCCTCCTCTTGTGGTGCCCTGCAATATTTCTTTGGCGAGCCCTTGTTTCCTTGTTACGTGGCCGTACCATTGTAATTTGCGTTTTTTCACAGTCACCAGTAGGTCATTTAACGTTAGGCTAGTGAAAAAAAAATCTATGAAAATAGGCTCGAAGATAAAAGTTTGTGACAAAAAACTTAACACAGAGAAGAAAAGAAAGAAAAAGCTGACACTCCTCTTCAACTTATCCAGCTGAACCTTGGCAGATAAGGCTCGTTGCCGATGACAACACATTCTAACAAATTTGTATTAAATTGATTCGATTTCGGTAAATAAACGCAAAATTCACATTTCAAATTTCATTTGTCCACTACTTTTTGGCCTTTTGGCCACGACTTCATATTTTCTGAAAAACCTGTATAAATACCAGTAGGCTTAGATAACATTATAGGATTCTAAGTGAATATAGAAACAGAAATTGATATTCAGATCCTTTATGTTCCATAATGAAGCATCGGTGGATTGCAGAGTATTATTATCTACTCTAGTCTGGACAAGTGTGAGATGTTCCAGAAAGTTCGATCAATTACATGGCTGGCTCTCCGGCATTTTTCAACCGATTTAAATGGGGCAAATGTTAAATCTTAACTGACTGATTTTAATAGGGCCCCCTATTCAAGGCGTACCTAAAATGGCACCTTACAAATTGGGCCTCCACCGGGTCCCCTTTTTTTTGACTTTAATGAAAAATGGTCATGGTGATGGAATATTCGTTTTCACGTCATTTTGTCATTTTGTAAACGAACATTTATTCAGTGGTGGGCTCATTGTTGACAAAATTCTGGGTGAGCAAGGTGCTGGGGGGGACGGGGGACGGAAGGGGGGTATAATATTAATTATGGTATTTTCCTGGAAATTCTATATTTTTCCACAATTCTATTTTTTTCCATAAGTCTATATTTTTACACAAGTCTATATTTTGTGAATTTTAAATCTCTTGAAGCTAATATGTTTTTAATCTCCAATCATTTCATTTTTCTGCTCAATTTTTTCTCATTTTTATTAACATTTTAAGATTTATATATGCACACACAAAAATGGGGGGGGGGTCCGAACATTTACTTTAGAAAATGAATTTTAAATAATTAAACTTAAGACTTTGGTCTCTCTTAATGTTTGGCCATTGGCGGGGCAGGGTTGGCTCGTGTAGAAGTGAGGTGTAGGGCACGTGGGTCAGGTTTAGGGGGAAGTGGAGATCAGTTCAGCGGCGTGGTGTGTAGAAGGATGGGGGTAGGGGTCAGGTGACAGAATAAAAAACTTGAAGACTTCTGAGAAAGGTTTTCATTGGCCCCCATCTGACTGTTAAGACGGGGGTCCTTGAAACATCAACCCTTCTAGACATTTCCCTGTCACCTTCAAATGCAAGTATGGTCAGTTGTTTCAATTTGGGAAGGGGGTCTGGTTGGAGGGGGGGTCTGGTCGGAGAGGGGGCTGGTGTTGTGTTCTTTTATAAACGACTCAGTTTAATATGTCTACATGATTGATATTTTTAAGGTTTATATTGTGTGTAGGTTCCATTTTTTTCATTAATGTTAATATCATGTTTTAAGACGGTGAATGTTTTTAGTAGCAGTTCAAGGCTAGATAATAACAGGGACCCCACCTGCCGGCATTGCAGACTGGTCCCGGAAACACTAGCGCATCTGTTGACCGAATGTCCCTCTCTAGATTTTTTCAGGGTAAGCCAGGGCGTCGGGAGAGCCCTACGTGATGAGAATTTTATATGGCTCTGCTCAGCTGATGGAGCTGGTAGCCAATGTACCAGCCGGGGGTGATGAGAGAGTAATGTAAGACCGTCACCAGAATATGTGTGTTAGCAGGCTACTTCGAAACTTTTTTTTATTTTGGAGTTGCGATTCAGTAATGTTACCTGGCAGTCAGTCTTATAGAACACCCCCTCATGTCTCAGAGTAATGTTACCTGGCAGTCAGTCTTATAGAACACCCCCTCATGTCCCAGAGTAATGTTACCTGGCAGTCAGTCTTATAGAACACCCCCTCATGTCTCAGAGTAATGTTACCTGGCAGTCAGTCTTATAGAACACCCCCTCATGTCTCAGAGTAATGTTACCTGGCAGTCAGTCTTATAGAACACCCCCTCATGTCTCAGAGATATAAATTTGCGCATTTAATTATATTTTTTTTTAAAAGGCGGCCGGGGGGGGGGGGAGGTTGAATTTGTAGCATTTGAAAAAGAATATCTCATGTTATGACCTTATACTTAAATAACAGCTTTGTTAAATTAAATAAATAAAATTTGGTTTCTTAGTGACTTCTCTTAAAATAGATGTGACTAAAACGCTATTTACAGGTTTTAACGACTTTACTCACACTAAAACGAAACTACAACAAAATGCTAGATAATCATGAAAACATAATCAGATGTAATTTTAATACCTTTGCCCAAAGGAATATATATATACATATTTAAAACATAATTGGCATTTACACATTAAAAAATCTTCCTTCACACTCAGTCATATCATGATTACATAAAGTAACGCAACTCTATTTACTTAAATATATATCCCTTGAA